GGGAACCTCCTGCATCCTTATCTTGGGTTGTATCAAAATGTCGCCTATTATCTCTGTTTCAAGTTTTCGGCGCTTGTAGAGTACCAACACAACGACATGTACGCCCCTACCATGATGGATGCGCTTGTGATGCTTATGTGAGGTCCGAATCGTGAAAGTGTGATCCAAAAATGTACTCTACAAATATTACAATCACGTGTTATAAACAACATGTTTTTTGTAAAGATGAATGAAACAATACAATTTAGTAATAAATGCACAATAAAACTAGGCGTAGGGTGCATTTGCGGTAATTCTAGTAATAGGGTAATAAATATTAATTAATAGTAATTGGATTATGTATGATACGTATGTTTCATTGTGAAATAACAAAGGTGAGTTTTATTTCAATGATTAAATTTTAAAAATATGAGTTATTACAAATTATTATCTCACCACCTTTGTGTTTTATTACAAATAATGTTAAAAATAATACTGAATTTATATAATATAATCATATTATGATGGCGTCCTTTGTCGTTGAGAGTTTCTAGGCCACTTTCATTGCACAAGAATACATGACGTGGTTTTCCGGATATCTTTATGTGTTCTACGTGTATAAAGTACGCGTCAAGGTTTTTAAATAATTAAAACATGTATTTCATAATTTCGGGTGTTGGGATGATTTAGGTTTAGATGAATTTAGAATCAGTTTCGCAAACGAGTTGTCCTCGCCAATTAAAGTTAAAAAAATATTAAATATAATTAACGCTGTGTAATATTCTTAATGTATTTACAAAATAATTATTAAAACATTTTATGGTTATATGTCATTAAACTTGTTTAATGATCTTGTAAATTTGACATTTAATGGGCTACAAAATTTTAAAGCGCATAATTTTTTTTATTTTTCTTCGAAAATATGCCGATTTGTAGGAATTTGCTTTGTTCAATCTATCGTCCTATGATCTATTATGCTAATAGATTACGATATTTCCTTATATCCTGGCTCATAAAGTCTTGACTATTAGGAAATGCTATAATAATTGCGGCGATACCTCCTGGTAGTTCAATAAATTTACCCTCTACCTCATGCACGCAGGTCGGTGCCACTTGAAAAATACTCGGATTATAACTCGGGAGCGATCCAACGCGCCGATAACGCCTAGACATAAATTATCATACAAACGCAAGACGCTACTAATATTAAATAAGAAAGCATGTAATTCACGTTGGTTCGATATACCGGCCGAGTAATAAAATACACAGTTTTGACACATTTTAAATAATGACGTCCGCGTTGTCCAGGAAATGCTTAGAAAGTTTGAGTCGTGGCTGCTCTAAAGTCGTTCAATGTCCATGTTGACCTTGCAAATGATATGTTGAAGTTGTTTGTTGATGACCAAGTGTACAGTTTTGTAAAATATATCAACAATATTTATTTTACTTTTGGTAGTAGTGAAAATAAAAATAAAAAATCATAGCGTAATGTATTAACAAACTACAAGTCTCTAATTGTTAGAATATTTTATATATTCATAACAAATCTTAATATTTTTATTTTAAAACAAATTGAACGCACAGTGGTATAAATAACGACATGTTTTGTAGATATTTGGATCGTGATAAAATAGTTTATCGTTTCCTCTAAAATATTATATTAGTAAATTATAAATACAAACAATTACAAGATTAAACTGAAAAAAACAAATAATAGATTTTATTTCTTTAATCAAAACCAAACCATCGTGGCAATACCATTTATTTTAGTTTAAACACTACGGAATCAATTTTGATGATATTTCTATGGGAACAATCTGAAATCCTTTCAGATAAAAAGAATATTTCAATCGGTTTATAAATAACGAAGTTATGAGGAAACAAACATAAAAAAAATGCAACCGAATTAAGAACCTTCTTTTTTTAAGTCGGTTGAGCTAAGAAACCCTATGGATTGTATATGGGATTATCAAAATTAGTTCAATATTGGCGATTTAACATCATAGATATACCCACAAAAAATAATACAGACGAACTGAGAAACACGTTCCTACTATGTAAGTCCTGTTAGGGGTCGCTTAAAAATTGTAATTGTAGGACTCTTTGACTTATGAAATACTCATATCGTGACTGCATGTAATTTCGTATGAAAGTAATTTACCTGAGAAAGTTTAATTTCTCGTCTCCGATAATAAACCTTCGAAATTGGTCTTTCACAAGTAATTAGCTTAATAAATCTTGTTAGCACCAATATATAAAGGAAACCATCATTGACACACAGACCTACAATATATGTATAGTAGAGTTCATAAATTGTTACAGTTAATAACCGAATTTTTATGCTATAAAAAAAGTTTGAGTTATGGATTTTTATATTTGGGAATGGTAGTCAATTGTCACGCTATAATTTTATAAAAGGGACCGCATGTAATGTGTAAGTAATAAGACAGTTACGGAATTATTCGATTACAATTACATCAATACTTACCACTACTAGATAAAAAAAAAAAATGTTTTATAAATGGTTAAATATATTTAATTTTGCATAGAAAGATATAATAATTATAATAAGCAAATAAGAATAAACTCGATTGAACTGGGAGGACTTTAACAGGGGCAGGTTTTGTACAAAAGGCTGTAAAAAAAGTTCTTGTGTCCCACTCATGTTTCTACTGCCAATCAACTGTCCTTGCTTGTATAATTTAATTAGAATGGTACTTTCGTAAAATTACAAATTACGGAGGCATACCATAGGCGTCATAGTGTATGCTGCGACATCAGTAGCGTTACTCATTATTTTTGGGTTGTTAAGAAAAATTTTTTTGTATCTTTTATTAGAATTTATCTACGTACTAATATACCACTAATAAAATTTTCATATATACATATATGTATATCTCAAAAAGTGTTCAACGTGTCTAAAGAAGTGTTTACTTCAAAAAGTACAGTTTGTTTCAATAGTAATAATAATAATCTAAACAAAGAAATAATTGACCCGACCGTAAGACAGGCTGCTGATGCCCAATAATAGTACAAATAAAATATCGATTAATTGATTGAATGTTCCAATTTGATACTAATTTCATTTATAGAGAGTTTCTGTAATAATTTCAACAAAACTTGATTAAGTTTTCATTACGTTCTATTGAAACATATTATAGATAAAGTATTTTAGTAAAAATGTATTAGAATAAAGTAATTGTTTTATCTTTATGTATTTTACGTTTGTTGACGCGATGGAAAATCCAAGGAATACACGTCAAAAGCTAAAAATCCACCGCAAGAAGCCTCGCTTGATATTCCGTGAATTTGTGTTGGATCGTGACTTTATGCATAATTAAACTGTTTACTTTATGGCGCCACACGTATAGAATTCATCTCGCAAACGACATTAAAGATTCAAATTATTTAGAAACGCTCATCAAAGCGCTATTTGGTTTTTATTAATTGCTATTATTTTCAATAGTAGCTTCACGGATAATCTTTGTTTAAGAAAAGATATGTTCATTTTTATTTTATAGTAAATACAAAGTGTTTTTTTGTAAATGTAAAAAAAGTGGTTTTGTTGTTCGGGTGTTTAGATTATGACGTGTTTCTAAAGTATTTTACTGGATAAATTTTAGTATTTATCCTCGTTTATACATAGAAATATTTTTTGTATAAATTATATGTCAGCAATGAGTTATTCGTATTATTAAAAAAAGTCTGATTAGTGAAATAATAAACACATTATTTGAATAATAAAATAATGAATTACTTAATAATATAATAAAATTATTAATTATCTAGTAAATAAATAAAGAATATATTAATTAAATAGTAGATAATTAAATGTTGTGATATTAGATATTGACACCATTATTGTCTCTAATCTCGTTATATAGAAATTCCTAGCTGCGATAAACAATTTAAATCATTAGAGAGCCCGTGTAAGTTATTTAAGAAAACATTCCGATGATGCCCGTGTGCAAGATTGGCGGCGTACCCTTGCGGCGAAAATGAAAGGTATTTGTTATGATAGAAAACAAATATATTTTATGAAAGACAGAAACCCAGCCGTCGGTTGGCAGAAATGCCTTGTAATTTCGGGACGCCCACAGATACCACATATCATGCGGTTTTAGGTGTAAAAAATCAGTTAAAGTATGGCGACACGCTGGGATCGATACATAATAATATTTCATCTCACTCGTGATGGGTGTCTACGATTTCATTTTTGTGAAATTTATTTTAATTAAATGTTTTATGGTAGAAGTAACTGTACTTTTCGATTTACGTCGTCTTTTGCCTTTTTAGACAATTTGGATATTTGGAGGTCATGGCATAGAAGTGATAAGCGTAGTGATTTTTTTTATTTTTATTATAATTTTATTTAATACTATTTACTTCGTAGATGTGGATTTCAGAAGTAGGAAAACCACTGAAATATACCACTTCTAGTTTGCGTATTAAAATGAAATATATACCAGATTTTAAGTTGCACTTTCAAGAATACAATTGTGATAACTGAATTAAAATTCGTGTAGTATTTTTTGCGTGATGGTAGAATATACAGACAGACAAAATTTCAAATGATTATTGTTTTGGCATCTATTGGTCTTATTAAGACCCCCTCGTATTAATTTTTCTTAAATGTCTTTCATGTGCAGACATGATCTAAGTACAATTTTATTATTAATGTAATATTTACTTTTTCTATAGTACAACCAAATACTTGTTAATTTTATAAAAAGTTACTAATGTAATAAAATTGTTCTATTGATGAATGGGAATATTTGGTTGTTGTATTTTACCATATATATCTAAATCACTGAATGGATTTGATTGATGTTTAGTATAAAGATTAGACCATATTTTAGAATTAACACAGTAATATGATTTTTTATTCTAACTTATACAGGCAAAGCAATGGGCCATAGCTAGTTTGATAATATGTTTAGACGCCCACCTTAAAATTAAAGTGGTAAAAGGTGTCGAACTAAGCAAACGCCTTCATATTGATTCGCTTTGTTTATTTCCAGATTTATGGATACCGTTGACGAGTTCTTGGGAAAAGACTGCGGTGAGTCAAATTATTATTTACACGATATGTTAACACACTTGATTACTTTTGGGTTGTGGCTAATGACGCCAGTGTATGTGGACTTACATTGCTGTTGCGGTTTTCTCTTGTTTAGTGGCCGTGCGAGTAAAGAGCCCGGCTCGGTTTATCGACCGCACGTAAGAACTGTTCATACACTCAATATGTCTAAACACGACGTTCCTACAATTGGGTGCGCTGTTAGTTTACGCGTTTGTGTACTGTAAACGCAGATGTAGGTTAAATTCATGGATGTTTTCAAATTGTCCCGCGTGGGAGAATTGGTTGTGGTGAGGTGTTAATGTATGCCCATTGCTTAATTGTATTACTTTACGAGAATGCCATAAAAAGTAACGTTGAAGCACGTCTCTATAGTTAAGTCACTAATCGTTATTCTATTGTGGTTCGTCTCAGATAAACATATATACTAGCTGACTCGGCAAACGTTGTTTTACCATATACATTATTTTTAGAACTATACATGAAAATTTATCGTACTACAATTATTATGTTCGATTGATTGAAAAAGATCTCAAAAAAAGAAAAAAAAATATACTTAGGGGTGGGTCACCCTTATCATTGAGGGATATGAAAAATAGATGTTGGCCGATTCTCAAACCTACCCAATATGCACACAAAATTTCATAAAAATCGGTAAAGCCGTTTCAGAGGAGTTTGGTAACAAACACCGTGACACGAGAATTTTATATATTAGATATAAGCTATATTTTCGTAGAAATAAATAATAATTTGAAACCAGAAGGGAGAAAATGTTGGGACCCTTGATATATATAACACGATGACTTTATTAAAATCATAATAGAAGGTAAGGTAGAAGGAAGGAGGGGAGGGCTCACCCTTCATCTCAATGTGACTGATATAACTGTGTCTTAGTCTCAACCAAAGCACAATTACATCGGGCAGATCAAGAAGAAAATAGTTGGTTGTGTATTGTATTAAGAGATGAATAGAGTCGTTGAAAATCGTAGTGAGTAGCAAGAGCTTTACCGACAAGAGCGCAGCTGTTAAATATGAATAAATGAAATAATTATTTACTATTTATTCCTATTATGATGCCACTAAATGTGCAGCAAATTTGAGACAAACACAACTTTGAATGTTTCGAATAACAAATTAATAATAGTACAAATGTCATCTACATGCCACACTCATACACAAAGTCTATACTTTACATAATATATATTACAATAAATAACTAGTTGCATAAGATAGCGTATATATTAATTAAGCTCTATGATTATTAATTCTACTGCGTCTCAATTTGCAGTAACAACCGCTTACGATACGTCAACATACCGTGTGCTGTTATCAGGAACGTTAGACACAACATACGATTTCAATTAAAGACTGCTACGATTTCAACGAGGAATGTCTGATGCGTTCATTTATTAAAGAACTCGCGGTCTTCCTTCGTTGAAACGCGAACAGTCCGTCACGTACAAAGAGAAGGCAGCGAGATAGCTCAACACAAATTGGTTCATCAATAGCAGTCAAAACTAGTAAGTTCGGTTCGTACGGCCGACATTATCGGGAGCTACATATTTAATTACACTGACACAAATCGTAGTTATCATGGAACTTCTCACGGTGCCCAACTTAATATACCGAATGTTCATTAAGTTCTAATTACCAATGGTCGCCCTTGTTTGTCTTGATCACAAAAACTAGCTTTTATTAGATTACGTGGGTAGTTTCAATTAATTGTGAGCATGCGAGTATCTGGCGGCGTTTTCATTGGTAATGGCCAGTTATCGGTGTCGCTAAGTAGGTGAGATGAGTAAGACGTTGATACTGGTTTGCTATGCATATCGCCAGATCCTTGAAGAATTGGGTCGAAGTGAGTAGTACAGATTTGTTGTTAATAATACGCAATGGTAGTTTCACAATAATTTTTTGTGACATTAATTTTATAATTATTAAAAACATGTTGTATTTCGTTGTTTTATGATAGCCATTCACTATTTTTAGATGGAACTTTGATAGAAAAACGAATCGTGCTGTTTACGACTACAGATAAACATAATATGTTGATTGTAATAAGTATTTATTAAATGTCAGTAAAATTCCGATATTATTACATTTCAGTCATTTAATTTGTATAAAAATATTGCACAAACATTCGCGTGCACAAGCGGTTGATAGTTGTATGCCGCGTAGTATCTTGACGATGTTCATATCTCAGGAGCTATCGTAGCAAGATCGCGTTTCTATTACGTTGATTTACACGGTATCGTGTATCTCGTTTGCTACTGATCCTAGTGGAATTGTACCAACCTTTTGACAACTACCATTATAATTTGAGTTATTTCAACTGATTTTTCTAATAACGTACCAAATTATTTTTGACAGCGACAATTTGCAATGAGATATTGCAAGATTTTGCTAACGTCCTGATTTATTTTATATCATTTATGCACTAAAAGTTACATTTGCTATCAATTGATGATAACCCTTATGTTTCGATGATTAAATTAATAATAAATTGTATAGTAATATTATCGATGTAGATTATGCATGAGTACATATGTCTTTATATATACACGTATTGACTCATCGCACTAAACGTAATTCCTCTTATAAACAATAAATTCTGTCGCTAATTCATGTGTAAATAAAGCTTTAATTTTATATGGATTTGACATTAAATGTCAAATTAGTCATTGATTAGCGATTAGCGGTGACGACGAGTAGCAATGCTTTTAGTCCAATATCTTTAGTAGCGAGATATTTATAAGGCTCAGCTATATTTGAAATAGTAATTTATTTGATAATTTATTATAAGTATAAATGATAACGTAGCTATTAACATTTATTTATGTTAAAATTCGACTCCCAAAAATTTTGATGTTTCGATATTTGACATGAGTAGCGAAACATGTCTCATCATTCTCCCGCACTGTTGATAGATTAATTGTTTCTCTCCTTTGGACACATGACTTGCTACTTGTGCTAACATATTGATAAATGTTTTTGATCATCTAATCGTTTCCTATAACTTTTTTTAAAGATGAATTTTAAAAATGAATCTTATATTACTTTAACTAACTTACTGTTTATAATTTTAGTGGTACGTTTGTTTAAATCATGGTTATGCAATATTATTGATTATTATACTCATAATTATTTATTAGATAGATTTTGGAGTAATAGTACATATTGTGGAAACTAAAGAATTAATTGTAAAATATCTTACTTTGTCATTTCATACTTAATTATATGCATATCATTATTTGAGATTTTTTGAACTTGTTTTTTTATTAAATTATATTAATACATAATAAAAATATATTCGTGGTAATAACATAAAACTTAGTCTACAAACTATAAAAGATACGGCGATAAAAATAGCCATTTCAAAATTCGGGCTGACGTCACAAATAAATGAGTTACTCCTTAAGTTTCCAACTTCGTTGTAGAGACAGTGCGTTTGCAGCAATTCCAGTCAGATAGACGCAGACAAAGTTGCACTTTTGAACTACACGTATGTGCTTGTGACAAATGTACTTTAGATACCAATACCACCCCGTGTATATACGGACCGATAACGCTGTGTTAGTTCGTAATAAACGACATTGTTGCTGAAATTATCTCTCTGGCTGTCTTGAAGTTTGTTTCAAATTACTCGCTGTTTTTATTTACGATTTTTAGATTTTATTCTTTATATTTGAAATTAATCGTATTAAAGTTCGTTGGATAGAACTGAAACTTGTTATCTTTTGCGTATTTTACGCTTATTTATATATTTGGTTAATCCAATGCTTAATTCGGATCGCTATTAGTACACTTTCAACATTAAGTCCAAGCAAGCAGTGACAATTGTAGATAAATCTTGACATAATCTTCTTGATCTTTATTCATTCATTCATATTGATCTTTTCATAAAATGACTTATTTCATTATATACCCGACTTATCTTTCAGACGATGTTTTAATATTTTTTTGTTAAACATTACTGATAAGTACCTGAAGAGATAACTTTACGGACCTTATTCCTCAGGAGTGGGTGTCATGCTAAAAAGCGGCATTTGCTATTTTACATAAGGTGGGCTTGTTTGTTAATTCTTTAACGGGGGTTTCGGCTGACATTTTGTAACTTTGACGATATTTATGTACACAGCTAGAATCCAATATATGATCCAAGGTGAAATATTGAGATAGGTGTTTACATATTTTTCAAATTTCATCCGTCGTAATTATCGACGTAGGTTGTCATAAAAATACCAAACGTTGGAATGTGGTTGCATTGGTACAATTAATAATCTTAAATACCTAATCAGTCATCTGATCATCTGGTAACGACCCACGCGTGGCGCCACGTTGTATGTAGCAACAGCGATGTGTGTGCTAAGTGCTTTGTGTAACTCACTTCATGTAGTCTTTATAATAATACTTATTAACAGTTTTTCTGTTCATTTTAGTTTCTTTAATAACTAGATTTTTTAAATATAGGTAGCTTTTCTAATTATTTGATGTAATTGTATTTGTAACTTTTAGAATATTGCATATTGCACCAGAGGGAGACTTTGTACAAAAGTCGATTGCTTGGGTACCTCTGTCCCACTCGTGTTTCAACCGTGAAGCAGTTGTGTTTGCATGGCTGTGTTTCGGTTTGAAGGGTGGGATATGGCGTGAATTTACTGGGTACAGAGGAATAACACCTGAGTCCTCAGGAATGGCAACGCATGGGGAGTATCATGGGCGAAACAGTATACTCTGTTATGTCCATGGTACTACTCATGTCTATAGGCGACGGTTACCACTTTCCATCAGGTGGGCCGTCAGCTTGTTTGCCATTCTAAGTTGTATAAAAAAAAAAAAAAAAAAAAAAAAAAAAAAAAAAAAATGTTGAATAATTCGAATAGTATGTATTGGAAAGTAGAAATTTTGTTCTGCAAACACAGCGATTTCGATACAAAATTGATATGAGACCAATTTGATTCGTTTAAAATTCAGAATTGACCGCAATATCACATTACATACACACAAAAGATTACAAGTGAGTTAAGAATCAACATCTTTTTGATGCCGCTTAAAATCACATATTTGAGAGACAAGCTTAGCCTTCTGTTAAACAGTAATAGCTTCCTAACAGTACTTATAGCTGAGCACTGAAATGTTAAGTCCCACGAATGAGTGTGGTAAAAAACCTAATAAGCCGATTACGATGTAAGGGGGTCGTGCGTAGGCGAGTCATCCCGTATCGATATCGAGTCGTCTCGTTCACAATGCAACGATTGTCGACAATCGATCCGCGACTCGATACGCACACCTATCTATCCACGGTGTGCGACCAATGCCTTCGACTTTTGACATAGAGCTTGGAATAAATAAAGCGCAGAGTTTGTTTTATCTACAAAAATAATAATAGTACTGATTAACTGTTATTCAATTTTAGTTCCTCTAATATATAACTTATTTTTTTTTTATTTACAACTTGCATATAGGTATAATCATAATAAATAAGAAATGAAAGAATGAGAAAAACAAAATATGATTCTAAATAATAATATAAAACCGTAATGCTATATAGTTGCTGTGCTGTCGCAGTTTTGTGATGTAGATACACATTTTACTGTGAAATGATATTAATGTATAATAGTAGTAAGAAGTATATCTTATATCAATTTTAATTTAATAATCCTCATTATTATACAACGGTTTATTTAAACCTAGTGAGTTAAAAGTCCACGCAAATAATTTATTTTATCTCTTAACTAAACATGACGAAATACCATCGTTTTCATATTAGTTATACCTACTTTATACGTGAAACGTTGTACGATAGTAAAACACCTTTTAGGTATCAAACGAGTTTTGTATACAGAAACGTTTTAGCATTAATTTACGTTAAACATTTAAAATTATATGTTTGTGAAATTGAATCATATTTATGTTATCCACTCTTGGGATTGTTGGATCTATGGCGGATCCTTCTATTACGCAATAATGATATTCACATCATATATCATTATTATAATTGTGTAACGCCTTCTTTTGATACCTTTTGTCTGTTTGATCGTGCTTGTCTGTTCGCTTACCAGTGTTATGTTTATTTTCTATTGAGTTTATTACATCGGGAATGCAGTGCTACACGCTTTCTATGCTAAGTGACTTAAAGTGGTAACATGTATTAGCTTATTGTGTTGTTAGTTGCAATTTGCATGTGAATCGGTGACTGCACCAAACTTCAATGCAGTTGGTGTGGTTGCCCATTGAAGCCGGACGTTACTTGTAATTGAAATCTATGACCCAGATCGAAGTTTTATAATGTTACTGTTAATTTGTTGAGATGCAGTATTTGGTCCTTCAAATCGGTCTTTTTTAATACATGAAACATAATTTGCATTGATTTAAAAAAAGTGGTAATTAAAGTATCAGTTGTGTAAGTTATGAACGAAAAATAGGATCTGACAAAACCACCTTTTGTTGCTTCATACTTCAACATCACTACTTTTTCCTATTCTATTTCTTTACTTACGGTTGTTATATTATATTTCTTCTACATAAAAATTTATTTTTAAAAAAATAAAATATTTGAGTAATTTCTCTCTCGTAATTATCATCGCTCTTGTTTGTTTCTGTAATTGAAAACAGGTTTACTCAATAATTAAGTTGCCGACGAAAGCCTCTTCTGATGGATTGTTGTAAACGAATTTGTTTTTTTGTCTGTCCCGAGTCGAGTTGGCATGCATTTGCATGTGTAATGCATCTACGCATTACCTCTTGGTCGCTTCGTGGGAATTTATTGTCGACAAATTTGTTTTTCTTTCGTTTTCGTCTAGTGCTTGAAAATCAAGTTATTTCGAAATTTATTATTTTATTTATTTATTTAAATAATGTTATTGACCAAAATAGAATAAGGTACAAAAGCCAGACTTTTAAATTTCCTATAAAAATATTTTATATTTGTGTCATAAATATGTAAATTGGCAATCTGAAGTGTTGTTATATGTAAGTAGTAATTGCTTTTTTCCTGTATATCATCAAAATCACCAGGCAGGTGAAGTTTTGTAGATATAGCTACCTCTTCTATGCTACTTCAAAGGTCTTCCTGAGGAAGTGTCAAACCGCGGCCACGACTTCCTTTCTGCTCCCCGTGACCCCGATTCCCCACTCCCTGCACCTAGAGTAGGGTGTTTAGGGGCGGGAGTCAACGACCCGCAGGCGATGTTTGCGGTGCGATTTTGAAGACAAACATTAGGTTTTCGTTTTTCTCGTGGACCGTTTTAGCCGCTATCGATCGTGACTATTTTTATATTTGACTAGCTTTTATCCGTGGTTTCAACCCCATGACCGGACATATTTCGTTGACAGCTATAAAAATAGCTTAGTCCTACTCCATCTCATATAGTTGGTGTATAACAGATTTGATAATGATTGCTCAAGGCTTCAAGAACAATTACAATGTTACTATGGTTACTTTTTTATACATTTTGCTTTGTTTTTATATTTATTTCTCTTTTTTTGTGCATGTCTATCAGTCTTTGTTTTCACTTGCGTGCTGTAAGCACTACAAATAAATTATTTATCTATCTGCCTATATATTATTAAGGATTCAATAAATTTGATTCTCAGTAACGTTTACGTCTGATATTATTTTTCAAATACGAGTACATAACCTATTCAAATGAATTGTGAATAGTTAATAATCTATGTACACTACTTATATAAAAGTTAGTAATCGGAATTGTATAGCTGTGTAAAGCTGATACTGAAAATAAATAATTTGGTTACAAAATTATTTTTATGACAAAATAAAGCATTAAAGTACTAATTAAACGCTATGAGATGGTTTTTGCTTATTATTAACGTAAAAGTTTTATTTATTTAGGTCTAAATTTGTATGATATATAAATTTTTACAACGTATTATTTTAAATTTTATATATAAAACTATAATATATTTTAAATAAAACAATATCTTATACTCATGCATGGTCGTTATAGTAAACCGTCGCTAGTTCTAAAACTCCATCCATTCTATTTTACATTTAATATAATGTGAATTATTGCAAAATGAGGAATGAAAATTGTTAACCAGTTCCAAAAATAGGAGTTATGTTCTATATTCGGTGGTATTTTTTATGTTTATCACTTCAGAACGCCGATTTGGAAAATACTTTATTAATCTGAAATAATATACTTTAGAAAGATTCCATAGAAATTTTATCTAAAATAGATTCAGTAGATTAATTTTTAAAATTAAAATAATTGCTTTTGGCCAAAACCGAAGTCTGGTTTTTTTAGTGGAACACAAACTTAAATTCTTTCCCATGTACCATGTCTTTTCCATGTACCATGGATTAGGAATGCAAATGTCATCCTTTTTATCTCCAGAATGTCATAAGACGCAACTAAATGTACAGGGCATGACATACGAGTATAAGTACAAGAGAGGGAAACCTATAACACCCTATACCAACCTTGCCAATGTGGTAATAGGAGGCTATTTGCTCCGAAAAACATCGAGTCGTGTAATGTTGTGCTGTTGACCATATAAAGGAACCATATAAGCCTTCCATATAAGGGAAGTTTTACCAGTAATCGCCACGCTTGGCAGATGGGTTGGCAACCACAGTTAGGCTTTTAGAGATGTTTTAAGAGGGACGTTGTTGCTCATCTCTCTATCATTAATTTCTTTTAGTCGCCCATTATGACACCCATAGGAAAGAAAGGGGTGGCTTATTCTATGCCGAATGTATTTGTATGTACCATATTATTGCAGACTTCCTCATTGGTGTTCACTGTACTCACGGACTGAATCGAACTGGCTATATGGTATGCCGGTATCTACGCGACCGCCTTGGTATGCCCGGCAAAGACGCTATCAAAAGTAAGTTGTTTTCTTTAAAGGAATTTGTGTTATACCCCACTGACTAATACATATGCATCTGTTGACTGGATGGGATTGGGACACTTTGCTATTTGTATTGTAAGTGAACTAAATTAACATTGAGAATTAAATTGGCATTTTTAAATAATTAATGTAATGTAAGAAAGATTCCTTCGTTTGAGTACCTTTGTTCACATGTTTTTCTATACAGAAAGTTGTGCCTCTTTGTCTGTGTTTCGATGTGATGGATATGACTTGACAGTGAAATTACTAGATAGATATTACACCATATTCATCTATAATGGTAAAGCATGCGGTAGCTGCTATGTAGTTATGTAACAGTTTAACAAAAATTTATTGTTGTTCTAATATTACTAAGTAAATATTTTGTGAAGCATACCTATTTATCGATATACATATAGATAAAAATACGAGCGACAACCAAGCATTTAAATATTTTATTACAGTGGGGATAGGGGGAATCTGCCAGTGTTTGCCACGCTTGGCGGGCGGATTGGCAACCGCAGTTAGGCTTTGGAGATGTTTTAAGAGGGACGCTGCTGCCTATCTCTCGCCCTCCCTTAGTCGCCTCTTATGATACCTACAGGAAAGGAAGTGGCCTAATGTTAATGGTAGTAGCCTATTCTATGCCGGACTATATTTTTGTGCCTATGTTTTTTTTTTTTTATTATGTGTATAATATTGTTTCAGAATTCGAAAGAGCTCGTGGGTACCAAATTGAGAGGAAGAACTATGTAGCGGATATATTAGGGAAGAAGCCCCCACCCCCAGATCTAGGAAATTCAACACCAGTGAAACCTATAGGTATGCATAACATGTCATATAGATCACCTCTCAACGAATATGAACAAAATGATTATCAAAGTGATGATGACTGTAAGAGTAATAAAAGATTTGTGAAAAGAGAAAGAATGTCACGGCCTAGAGGGAGAATCACTAGGTGGAACCCCCGGCAAAGGAGTAGAAGCGATATAAGAAGGCAACACAGTTCCAGTCCAAATAGACCGTACGATTATAAGTACGATTACTGACATTAACGTGTAGTGAAACTTTGTATATATGAACCTTTTGATTTTATTGTTGATAAAATCTAGTGATATCAGTAAACAAAACTGTATTTCATACTACATAATATTAAATTTACTCGTGTTATAAGATTTACATAGAATGGATAATGTATAGCATATAATACATAATGTATAATACATTTTAAAAATGTATTATATGAAATTTCATTTTTGGTTGTATTTAATAATTTTATTTGTAGTGAAAATATATACCTAACAAATAATAGAAAAATGTTTTCATTTACATAATTTTGTCTAATAATATAGGTATTAATTATTTTATAAAGTAATATTGCCGATACTAACGTACATAATAATACAATGCAATAGTAATAATAGTTAATAGTTGCATATGCATAGCATGGGTATATGAAATGATTTTTTTACATAGTAGACATTTAAAGTAACTATATCCAATAACATATTTTTAATGTATTCGTTTTTTCGTTTCAAATCTAAAATATAAATGTTATCCACGCATCGATGACATTGTGTCAGGAGTTCAATTTTGAATTCATTTTTTTACTACGATAGGATACGTTATTTTATATCTTTTTCAATTATACACCTATTTTGATAATTCTTTTGGCTGTTGATAAATAGGGTTTATTCCAATTTTGGTCTTGTATTGATTTTGATACAATCGAAGTACTTTTTTATTGCATTAAAATCTTAAAGTTTTGTAATCAAATCTAATTTTGATTGCAGATTGATGGAAAAAAAAAGTTTAATTTATAGTTTCATTATCATTGCAATCTCATATAGCTTATTGTATTTTTTAATATGAATGTTTATTAGAATACTAACTGTGCCCGCGATTTCGTTCGAGTGTACGTACCTTACATTCCATCAAAATTATATTTAATTTTGTACAAAAATATTACACTTATTTCTTACGCTACAAAAAAGTTACCACAAAAACGTCTTACCATTAAAAAGTTAAACTTTCGGTAAATCCAACTAGCAAAATAATGTTATTATAAAAGTTTGTAAAACTAAAAACGTGGTCATACAAAAACTATATTATTGTTAAATATACATTTATTAAGAAACGCTAACACAAAGAGATAAAGTGACAAATAGCCTAACCAGGAATAAAATTAACAACTATCGTTTTTGTATTGTAAGGTCTTTAACCAGTGCGTGTTGCCAGTGACGACTTATGGGACCGAAACATGGTCCTACACGATTGCCCGTATGTAAAAGCTTCAACTTACTCAGCTGGCTATGGAGAGGGCTATGCTCGGAGTCTCTTTGCCTGATAGAATCTGAAACGAAGATATCCGCAAAATAACCAACGTAACTGACATAGTCCGAGGGAGCAAGCTGAAGTGGCAATGGGCTGGTCACATAACTCGAAAAACCGATAGCCTATGGGGAAGAAAGGTTCAAGAACTTTTCTTCGCCGTGGCGACTGCGTACGGACAAACGCGGTGTAGGCCGACCCGAATAATGGCTGAAATGATGATTGGTATCGTATATACTAATAAAGTAATCAATGTACAGTTCTTTAGATAAATTTAATGTACAGTTTTGACTTCCTTATGATTTTGGTAAATGTGATGAAAATGAAGATAAATATAAATTAAATTGTACGTTCTATTTGTACTGATATTTTGTTTGGTTTTTATTTATTAATTTTTTATTTAAATAGCATGCATAAATACATTAAACAATAATTTGTATGATCGATAGTGTAAATATGTATATGTCACACTATTGTTAACAAAAACAAAACGTATTATTTAACAATTTTATACTTTGTGTTCTTTTCTTTAAAATTATCTGTATTTTAAAGTTTACTTATAGTATATATATGCATATTTAGTTATATATTTACCGTACAATGGGTTAGTATCTCGTGTGTCCTGCGCTATAATATAAAAAAAAAAAAAAAAAAATTACACGTACTTCTATGTCTGCTATGAATGTTGGTCCGAAGTTTCACGTAAGAATAAAACACGAACGTGTTGTAGTCTCATAAAAATGCTATCAAAATGTTATGATTTTGGTTTTTCGGAATTGTGACGAACGAACTGTGACTATTAGTATCTGGGCCCGACTTCTATATCACCTGTTTTATGGTGCAAACGAAATTTTGGTGCGAATATTCACCTCGTATTTCTTGAAGTACGTGCTTACTTAAATTATTTTAATTTGTTTTTATTTTTTACTACTTGTTAGTATAGAGTATAAATCAATAAGTATGTATAATAGTTCTCTTCGACTTTGTTGAGATAATTTTTTTTTGTGAAAAGTATTTTTAAAAATAAAAAAATTTCATATTGGTTATTTAGAAACAATAGGAGTGTGGTTTGTAAAGTTATATTTATGTATATGTTGTTTGACTAATAGACCAATATAAAGAGGCGTTCACACAGGTAATTTTTATACAGAGTTAATCTGCAAACCATCGATGGTTTCTGACGTCTAGAATTGACGAAGTGGTATTTTTATCGTTAGCATCAGATAAAATACATTGCAGTAAATAATTTGCTGCTATCATGGTGTCGTAATAAATATTGCCCAGATTTGCAAAATGAATTTGCCAGTGTAAACGTACCTTTATTAGTGAGTATCTTTCATACTGTTAATTTTTACAGAGTTCAAAAGAGATGGTAAAATTAAAAAGTGTATTTTAACAAAGCGTATTTTTATTTTCGTAATTCAGTTACTATCATTATCTACCTCGCTTGACATAGTGTACGTAAAAGACAATGGCATTCATGAGAACGGGTCTAATTATAGTGAAATTGGTGTGCTCACGTAGAATAGATTCCGCGCACGTGCTCGGCGCTATCAGATTGAAGATATCTAAGGTTGCTCGCTCAGTTTTGTGACCACCGCAATCGTAATTTGTTTTAGATGGTAGTAACCTACTACTGCTGTTAGGGTTTCGTGTGACCCGTTGGTGTTTTACATAACTGTGGTGACAATAGAGCATACGGCCCGCCTTATTTACAATAAGCCACAACGCATGTTATGACAGTAACATTCAGAATCACCAGAGGCATGAGTCGTGTGTTGGTGATCCATATAAGGTTGGGATTTGCCGTAGTTAAAAATTGTTTAGGAATTTTTATTAGGAAGGGTAGTTGACGACCCGATTAACTAGCAGGCTTTTGATTTTGGTAACTTTGATGACAATTAATGACATATTTTTCAGTAGGACGTTTTCTAGGATGGGTAGCGCCTATCCTTGCATCTTTGTTTATCACTGTGTTCAGTATTTTACTTCTATTAGGTGCTCGTTCAGAAAACTTCTTGATTGCAAAAATAGGTGAAACAGATTTAGAAAATTCTTAGTTTTTCTAGATTTTGAAAAGGAAGCTGCTTAGATATTTAAAGAATATGTATGATATCGAAAGGCTACGGTAATCTTTTCTCAGAATTCTTCTCTCCTATTCTTTTCTTCATTCCTCCAAACTGATTAGAATGTCAGAGCTGGGTGCTGGCTATAGGGGAATTAAGCATGATATACCAGTCCAAGAGAAAGACAATTTCATTTACCGTTGTAAGTATATCAAGTCACTTTATTACTGTGATGATTTTAGGTTTTCCCATAAGAGGAGGATATTACTACATGTTTAATAACGTCTTATGGGAAAACCTATGTTCAGCAGTAAGACATTAATAGTTTGTTAACATCACAGGGTAACCACTTACCACTAGACGGCCTGTATGTTTGAATGCTCTCTAGTGATAATTGGATTTAAATTTGAGACCAGTGATTAATTGCCTAATATCGATGAACTTTTGTAGTACGTTTTATTATCCTATCCTATTAATATTTTATGAATTTCAAGTTTGCAAAGATGTTTGAATATTTGTTATTCAATCGCACATAAGAGGATGAATAGATTTGAATTAAATTAAATAGAGAGGATAGACCATAACCTGAATCAACACGTAGGATATTTTAACCTAATTTAAGTGGGCAGTGTCGAGGGATACTCTTAGTAAATAATAAATTGGAAGCCCCTCGTATGCGAATCTGATTCACATGTAATAATTAGGGAAAGGCCAACATCAGGTTAAAGATTAAAATCATCAGAGTTATTTTTATACTTATTGTTGACATGTTACTGTAATACGTAGTAAAAATAAATGTAACTCCCTTCTACTTGATTTGACCCATGATTCAGTGTTACGAAATCCTTCGTGAAAGAATTTGTGTTATGCATGATTTTGTATCAAATTAAAATTAGGGAGATATTAGAAAAAGCGGCCTACTTGCGCAATTTGTGCTTCGTGCTGTATGAGCAGTTATTAGGTAGATAGGTTAGTTTGCTTACACAAAATGAACTACGTAATATATTGTGATTATATTAATTTTTCTTCGTCAATATACCTTTTATTGGCAATGCTTACATTTTTTTTTAATTTTCTCATGATGGCCTTTTCAAATTATTTAAAGACAATATTAGACGTTTCTGTTGAAAAAAAAAAATAGAAAATTACTTATACATTTTTTAAATTGCACCTTTAAAGTTTTGAATATATAAGAAAACGGGTAGACAGCGTTATCGTAGAAACACCTACCAATAAGGTTTAGTTTTACATTAAACTGCTTAAATTCTTTTTTTTCTAAAATTTCGATGTAACTACTTTATCAACAAATTTTAGCGTGAGGTTCTAATAGTTTTTGCCATCATTAAATATAAGATAACGATTGTCCAATGCGAAACATTGACGCTTACAAATCGGTCTCTGCAAATAAATCAGCATGGAGATGAGGCCGATAAGTGTCAAGTCCATTTTGACAGGTCCCGATTTCTATGAATCCTCGTGTATTTTATGTAAGCCACCTGACTTATGTCTCTGTGTTTGCTTTGTAATGTTTTCTATATATTTCCAGGGTAAGTGAGCCTCTGTCCGCAGTAATGCTCGAGGTTGTTTCTGATTTATTTCTTGTCGATATATTGGTCGCTTTCTCCGATCGTCGGTGCAGTCGCATTTATTACTCTATTGTTTGCCTCCGGCGGGATTACGAGTGCTTCAGGTAATTTACTTGTAACCACCGCGTATTGTAACTATCGGTTTCTAGCGTTGTTGTCATAATGTATCGCAATATCTTCGAGTGTGGTGTGACCCACTGCGCCAGTATAACATACGATTGTTGCATAGAAATTTTATACACATCCCGTTTGTTCGCCACTTGTACATTAGAAAATCGTATTTAAATTTTCACGACTTTTTTGACGACTTCTTGAATTCTCTCATCGTGATATCCTCTAAATTAGATTAATGAGTACAATGACATAAGACGTATAACGTTTATCTTTCGACCGAAGAAGAGCGTAAATTAACTCCGTTTTGTTACCTCCTAATAAAAGTTAACATCTCAACTGGTATTATCTCATATTTTTGTTTCGAATCTTAACTACCTGGCTTCCGTCAGGGTGTATTTCTTCAGGTCCTTCGGCTTGAGTGACGTAGATCACTATTTAATTTATGTCCATTACTGTGAGGCGTTTCATTTTAATGCGCTCGTTTAGTTCGGTGACAGTGTGTAACGCTTCGGGCGCCACATTGATTGTTATCTGTATCGGCGCTGCCGGTGCGATGGATCCCACTGTCTGTAGGTCAGTTACTTTGTTAACATTTGGTGATCTGTGAAATTGATATCAACTGTTTCAATGTTATTGAATAAATTAGTGGCACTTTTGAAATATGCCCGCTGATCCGTCGGTGGGTCGTTATGGTTTACACTCCTAATTTGTTTAACGGGATGTGTTAATATATTTAAAAGATTATGAAGAGGAAATAGCGTATAGATTTCATATAGTCACACGTTTCACTTATTACATTTATGTATGACTAAATGTATTAAATAATATTTCTTAGTGGCGTTCGTTAATAATATAGTTTACGTTTTATCGGTGAATTGTGATATGAAAGCATTATTTAGGTACTTAAGTATTAGTTTTAAAGAAGTTAGTTTAGTATCGCTCAAAATCGTATTACACTACTGTGTTTATAATGTCATATAAGGCTTTTCAAGTTTAAGTCTGTATTTAACAATAATCGAAGCCTTCTAAGATAAACTGGGTATTCAACTATTGTTCACATCATTTATATAAAAAAATATTTTTAATTTGGCGAAAGAATCACAGAAAATATAAAAATAAATGGCTTTGGAAATATTATGAAAACTTGATATTTATTCGAATGAGCTGCAGATGAAGTGAGAAAATATTAGCTATTATTATTTATTCGGGGTACACACGGTAAAAATATTTTTTTATTATAAAAACAGCCAATGAAAACAAACACACGCCTCTCTTTTGAAAATACTTTTTCGAAATATTTATAATGAATTTATGATGCGTTTCTTTATTACGTACTATAAAATTAAAACTAAAGCGTAATGAATGTAGCTGGAACAATATATAGGGGCATTATTCTTGTGATCCTATTATCAAATCGATAATTCAATCTGGGCCGATATTGTCTGCACGCCTTGGAGGCACAGCGCCACTTCTGAGATGGTAGCCTATTGAATTTAGTAAGTATATGAGAATTATCAGCGTATATTTTTGGATACATGCAACATGTCTCTGTGAGGAATATACATGCATCTTAATATATAAAAATTGTGTTATGACATTCGTCCTCTAGTGCAATCAATAACTAAATAATCAAACAATCGATTTTAATGAAATTTTGTAAATACATGTTTGTTCCAACATGAGAGATAGGATAGATTTTAAACTAATAAGTGAAAAAGAACTCAGTAGGTAAGTTAATTTGGTTATTATAAATAAAAATTATTTAAACTTTATTGTACAAATAAAGGGATACTAAAGGCGGGCAGCAATGTAGCTTCTTAATGATTTTTTAGTAAAGAATAAATTGTCTTTATAATAAATTGCTCATAACTATAAATAATATAAATAAAAGATAATAATCTGTATTATAGAATTGGCTATAATTCCTATTGAATGATGAACAACAATAATAATAAATGTTGTAAGTTTAGCAGAATTACTATCTGTGACAATCTGTGGTAAATATCTGAGAATAAGAACTAGAAAATATGTGATTAGCATTTAACTTAGTTCATTAAAAGACTATGAATATATGTCGCAGTTAAATAACGCGCATCTATCCAACGTTTACATATATTCAGTCAGTTGTTTACATTGTAGTTAAAATATGAAATTTTGTATTTGAATGTTTGCTATTAAACGAATTTAATTTAGTATACGGGGGGAGGGTCTATATGCTAGATTAACATAGAGACTACTTGTTGGTTTAGGACTTACATAACCAAATCCATGAAATATAGCTAGTAATGCATTAAACACGCGCAAAACATAATTTTAACATGTAAAGAATGTCCAAATTACCTATCAATATTGTAATTATAGGCAAAATATAATATTAGAATCGCAGGAATATCCTATCTGTTCTTTACTTAAGCTATGATGAATAAAGCGATTAATAAACTGGATCGATTAAATGTACGAACGAATAAGAACATAAGCTTGGATTTACAGACAATTAAAGGGTTCCGCTGCGGCGGATATCGGTACCTAAATTTGTGACACTGGGTCATGTTTTAATTATAAGTTTTTATTTAGATTGGTTGCCTCTGTATATTGATATATTAATAGTAATTGTAGGCTCTGTTACGGTAGAAA